TGGCTCTCTAGTTACTATATGCAATGTTTCCTAGCCTGGTTAGATGATTTTCTAGTTACCATATGCAATGCTTCCTAGCCTGGTTAGATGACATTCTAGTTACCATATGCAGTGTTTCCTAGCCAGTTTGTATACCTATTATATATTTTCATAAATGAAGTAGCTTCTAAACAAAAACATATTTCTTGTAGTTCTGGAGTTTGGAAAGTCTAAGATAAAGGGGTTGACTGATTCACTGTCTGCTGGTGTCCACTCTCTAGTCTATAGATAAAGCCTTTGTGCTATGTCTTCACATGTTGGGAGAGATGCATCTCTGGGTTCTCTTTTGTAAAGGCATCTGCTCTACCACCATGGGCCAGTTACCTGAGCCAGGCCTTCTCTCCATCTATTATGAATTTGGAGATGGGGATACAACATGAAGACCACAATAACTAGATATATTTTCTCTCTCACACTATGAAGGATACTTTTATAGACATATAAAACATGCCTCCCAGAAAAAAAAAAAACATGCCTCCCATTGTCCATGCAAACAGAAAAGCTGCACCATCACTTAAAGCTCATAAGTATGATGTAATAGGATCCATCATTTAAAACAAACAGAATCAAGTCCAATGTAACTAGTTTGTGAGGCTGGAAATTCAAATAATGTTTTAAAAGAGTGAATCCCATAGAGACAGTCTTTCATCACTATGTGGTTATTTGTGAATGCTATTCTGGGCTTAGAGGTCTTATCCTGCTTTATGGAGGTAAGTTTCACATCTGAAACAGAGCACACTTAATAATGGGTCTTGTTAATATGAAATCATTATCACACAAAATATGCATTGATATATATGTTGCATATCTACATACACTCAAATAACATATCTCTAAGTTGTATTTTCTTTAACATATTTCATACCTAAAATCAGAATATGCCTAAGGATTTATAATGTGCTATACTTTATTTGGTAGCATCAAATAATTGAGCAATTAATGATTGGTTGAACCCTCAAGCCACTAACATATACTCTATAGATTATGAGAGACAGTGTAGAGTTTGTAAGCTTAGAAGTTGCTACAGTAATTTGAAATCAATGCCTTAAACAGGTCAAAATTAAAGTCACACATAATGTGCTTAACAACGCAAAAGCAAGGAAGCATGGCTCTATCTCAACACAGATTTATTTAGAGATTTAATATTTCATATGCTTTTAAAGTATGGTAACATATAATTATCTTGTTTTCAACCATAAAAATCATCCATAGCAACAAGGTCACATAAAAATTGATGACTGTCTATTTTCGCCCCGAGAGTATAGTTTTCTCACCCCTGACTTATAAGAAGATATAATATAGCTTTGAGCAGGAATACATGCCTATGATCCTAGCACCAGTGAGGCTGAGGCAGGAAGATTGACAATTCAGACCTGCCTTGACCACATAGCTAAAGCCTGTTTCCAAACAAAAACTACACCAGGAAGTGGTGGTGCACACCTTGAATCCCAGCACTTAGGAGGCAAAAGCAGGAAGGAGAGCTCTATGAGTTGGAGACCAGCAAGTTCTAGGAAAGCCAGGGCTATACAGAGAAACCCTGTCTTGAAAAATGAAACAAAACAAGAAATAAAATGGAAAAGAAAAGCATTCTCAGCACCACTTTTGTAATTCCTTTTAGGCTTTGGGACAGTCATGGCTGGTCTGCAACTCACTCACAGCTCCTTCCTCTTTCCCCAGCTTCTAGAGGGTCAAATTTTCAGGCCTTAACCACCACACCTGGCTTATAAAGTGCTCCATGGAAGTTGTGAACTGGACCATGTTAGACTGCAGAGGGATGGTTCCTGGTAGAAGTGATAAGATGAAAAATGCTTTGCTGTAGTAGGCATCCCCGCAACCCCCATGAGTACATCAAAGAGACTAAGGACTTCAATGAGTACTAAGGACACAGACAGGCTGTAAATGAGTTTCAGCTAGCCAGAGTATTTGTTTTCCATGGACCACAACACCAAAAGTGCTCGGCAGTGCAGTGTTGAAAAGGGATATATGTGTCTCACAAAACAGGTCTGGAAAGTGCTGATGGATCCCTATGTCAGACTCCTCTCAACCCTAACCTTCACTTTGCTCTCATGCTCCCTTGATGGTTGTTCACTCACTGTTAAATGTGGTGAATAAAATGAGAAGAACACACATATGAACACTTATACGTGCACGGGCACATGTGCTCGCGCACATGTGCGTGCGTACACACACACACACACACACACACACACACACACATACATACAGGCACACACAAGAATGTGCTGTACATATTTCAGGGTTACAAAAGCTGGAACAGTCTAGTGATTAATTTTTCCAAAGCTTTTCATATGTTTTACACAAATCATCCTACTACAAGCTTATGTGCCCAAAATAAGTCATCATTTAGGACATTCCTTAACTGGATGTGGAAGCATCCCTGCAATCTCAGTCAACAGGAGGTAGAAGCAGGGGATCTCAGGTTCCTGCCCTGACTGGGTTCCATAACAAAAACTCAACTAAAAAACACCACCAATAAATAAATAAACTAATAGACATTTGGGGGTAATATCTGGTACAGTATGTAGTTACTGTTCTGTATAAATTAACATACTTTAAATACACATGAATCTCAATCTTACAATGTTAATGTTGGGGAAAATGAGAGTTGTGTGAAATTACTCACCAAGTTATAACATTTTCTATAAACTAGAAAAAAGAACACTTTCTTATGCTGACACAAATGGTTTCTTTCATCATTGTTTATTCTTGGTGTCAATGTAGAAAAACACATTTGAAGGGTTTCTCTTCAATCTCGTCAATGTTAGCTCCAACATTAAGAAGTGTGTTTTAATGGGAGTTGGCTTTACCGTTTTGACATGCGTGAGATAGCAGTTTGGAGAAATGTGTCTATGCTTAATTTTGCTTCCAATTTTTGACTTTTAAACTCATTGTCAGACTCAGAAAGAACTGGGAGGCACTGAAGATGATTAAGCACTTGCCTTGGGGAATTATTTGCAGTTAATTAAAGCTGCACACTCTGGTGTATACTTGATTCACTGGTTATTAAAGCCGAATCATATGATAACTACCTAGGCTTCTCACTTGTCCATCAAATGTTGCTTGTGGCAGGATGAAGAAACATGCTTTCTCATAATAATCGAAAAACATGACGTTTGCAGCTATCTTCTAGTTTTGAGAAGCCGGGGAGGATGGAAGAGAGGGAAACAGGGAAGGGAATCAAACAAACAAAATTGTATTTAAGATTCTATCTGACTTTGCTGTCAAGGCCTTGGAACTTAGCTTAAAGGTAAAAACCCAGAAAATTCGTAGGAATTAAGGCACAGATTTAATGGTTCCAAGCTTCTCCCTAGCTGAATATTGACAAGATCAGCTAGTAGCATTTAGGTATCTTGAATTTTGTCCCTTTGGGCTATATAAGAAAGGTATACTAGATTGCAAGCTTTGTAAAGGCAGACACCTATTCCCTGTTGGGTCCCCAATGCTAGACCAGCATCTGCCATACAGTCAGCATTCAACAAATACTTGCAAAATGAGTGAAAGGCCAATCTATAGGCTTTTTTCAATGTCTTCTTTAAAGATCCTCCAGGGAGAGTTCAACATTTATCATTCTAGACTGGCAGGAATTCTTTACTACAGAATACTTTGAGCTGTGTCGTTTGTTCTATAGCCTAAGTTGTAACAGTAAAACTGAGAATGTAGGGGCTGGCAAGAAGGTCCATCAAAAAAAGGTGTTTGTCACCAAGCCTGATGACCTGAGTTCAATTCCTGAGACTCACAAAGTAGAAGGGGAGAGACAATACAAGTTATCCATTGATCTCTACATGCATGCCTTAGTGCTCTTTATGTGTGCATGTACACATACACACACACACACACACACACACACACACACACACACACACAAAAGTAAAATGTAACAAACAATATTTTTAAAGTGACCATGTGTCAATTACATATTTAAAAGGACACTTAGAGGGAGAAAAATCTCTTTGTATAGAACAGAAGTTCTTTATTCCTTCCTTGCTCTTGTCAACTGCTTTGGGACCTTGAGGTAACCTTGCTGACTGGGGTCTCCCTTTTCCCTATGGTCTGTTGGGGACTAGGCTATGAGGACAAAGAAGCAGAGATGGTGGGCAGGGTTTTTCTGGTTGTGAATATGATGGAAATAACCTTCCAGGAGTCATCTTCAGAGAGACAGCTTAACTTTATTCCAGAGTGAGGGGAACACATAGAAGGGGACAATAGGTAACACCTAATAGGTGCTCATAGTATGCTTTATTTGCATTTGACGGCACAACCCCATCATACAGATAAGAGCACAATACCTAATTATCATATGGGTGCCAGGAGGAGAGCAATTGTAGGAAAATGTGTCAAAGAAGATAAGTCAGGAATCCAAGGTCAGGGACAGCTTCCAAATAAAGTCAGGCAGAGAGTATGAAGGCCCTGTTGAGGAAAGGGAGTCTTCCATTTTGCTTGAAGCTCCAAGAGCTGTTCAGACATGATGGACTGCAACTTCAAGCATCAGGGCCTTCCAACAGCATGCTACTGGCTTTCCAAGATTCAATATCTCACTTTTCTGGGGACTTGGAGCTCATATTTGTGAGCAACTAGAATACTAGGAACACTAAGACATTAAAATTAAATATTCCGTTAATCCTCTCTAGTTTGCCTTCTTTCCATGTTCCTATACCACAATTCTGAGACTTCAACTGGTGTATGCAGCCCACTTTATGCTGTCTTTTCTTTTGCAAAGATACCTCCACTATTTTCTGTTCTTCTGAAGCCTTGTGCAGATTTCTTAGGTAGTGTTTTAAGAAAATAGTCTTCCATGGTAAAAATATTGAAGTGTTTTAATGATTACAGTTGGAAATAGTAAAGTATATTGTCTTAAGTGTAAATCCACCCTGTTACTAATAGAAGAGGCTCCATTTCCTTGTTGAAAATGATGTCTAAGGGCTCTGTTTGTTTGTTAGCAGATTCTGCAAAGGATGACAATACTACAAAAGACAATGATGTTGCCAGTCATTCTGTGTGTGACCAAGAAATCCCCAATGGTAAGTTGTGGGATCATTTTTTAATTCTTTTTCTATTAGAGAATATTACATATTAAAAGTCAGATGAGACATTTTCTAGAATAGTAGAATTCTTTTTTTACATTTTTTCCTTTTTATTTAAATTAGAAACAAACTTCTATTATATGTCAATCTCAGTTCCCTCTCCCTCCCCTCCTCCACTGCCCCCCAATGACCCCCTATCCCAATCCCCTTCTGCTCCCCAAGGAGTGTGAGGTCTTCCGTGGGGGACCTTAAAGTTTGTCATATCATTTGGATCCAGGGCCTAGACCCTCCCCAGTTGTCTAGGCTGAGGGAGTATCCCTCTACATGTAGAGGGCTCCAAAAATTCATTTGTCTACACTGTTCCACTACCAGTGGCCCCATAGATTGTCCAGACCTCCAAACTGACTTCCTCCTTCAGGGAGTCTGGAATAGTCCTATGCTGGTTTCCCAGCTATCAGTTTGGGGTCCATGAGCAATCCCTTGTTCAGGTCAGCTATTTCTGTGGGTTTCTCCAGCCTGGTCTTGACTCCTTTGCTCATCACTCCTCCCTCTCTGCAACTGGATTTCAGAGTTCAGTTCAGTGTTTAGCTCTGGGTGTCTGCGTCTTCTCCCATCAGCTACTGAATGAAGGCACTAAGATGGCATTTAAGGTAGCCTCCCAAATATTGTTTAGATTGTTTGTTGGAGTCAACCTTGTAGATTTCTGGACATTTCCCTAGTGCCATAATTCTCTTTAAACCTATAATGGCTTCCTCTATGGTGATATCTCTTTTCTTGCTCTCCTCTATTCTTCCCCTGACTAGATCTTCCTGCTCCCTCATGTCCTCCTATCCCCTCCTCTTCTCCCCCTCTCTTTCTTCTAACTCTCTCTCCCCTCCCTCATGCTCCCCATTAGCTTAGGAGATCTTGTCCCTTTCCCCTTCTCTGGGGTACCATGTATGTTTTTCTAGGGTCCTCCTTGTTTCCTAGCTTCTCTGGCTGCTACTTCTTTGCCCTAGATCTAAAATCCATATACGAGTAAGTGCATACCATTTTTGTCTTTTTTGTAACTAGATTACCTCACTCAGGATGGTTTCTTCTAGTTCCATCCATTTGTCTGCAAATTTCAAGATTCCATTGTTGTTTGTTTTGTTTTTCTGCTGAGTAGTACTCCATTGCATAAGTGTACCATATTTTCTTCATCCATCCTTCAGCTGAGGGGCATCTAGGTTGCTTCCAGTTTCTGGCTATTACAAATAATGCTGCTATGAACATGATTGAACAGTTGTCCTTGTTATATGAATGTGCATCATTTTGGTATATGCCTAAGAGTGGAATTTCTGCATCTTGTGGTAGATTGATTCCCATTTTCCTGAGGGACCACCATATTGATTTCCAAAGTAGCGTATGAGTTGTCACCCCCACCAGCAGTGGAGAAGTGATCCCTTTTCTCAACATCCTCTCCAGCATAAAATGTCATTGATGTTTTTTATTTTAGCCATTCTGACAGGAATAAGATGGTGTCTCAGAGTTGTTTTGATTTGCATTTCCCTGATGGTTAAGGATGTTGATATTAACCCACACACCTACAAACACATGATTTTTGACAAAGAAGCTAAAATTATACAATAAAATAGTATTTCTTTACACTGGCCTCATGATGAGATATTGTTGCCATCCTCAATCTTTGTCACTCATTATTTTTAATGAAATTGGCATTGCTCATCTTGTTTATTGTTACCTGTGTGGATTCTATAAGCAATAGTTTTGTAACCATTGAAATAAAAAGATGATAAGAATGAGAATAAGTGTGAGGCATATGGAGAATAATCCCAGGAGACTAAATCTCCATATCCATATCCTTGGAATACCAAGAAAAGTAAACAGAGCCTACAGAAATAAAGCAATCTGTAGGAAAATAGAGAGAAGAATCTTTCCCTAATGCAAGCCAGTTTCTATGCTCAGAATGTAAGCGTGCACATTATATTTATACACAAAGGTAATAAAAACTCAAATAAAAACAGACACCTCCAAAGCCTCATGTAATTTCTGAAGATTGGTGGCTAAGAAAGGCTTGTAAAGTATACAAGAAATATAAAATCAGTACAAGCTATATCACCAGAATCCAGCCCCAACTTCCAGGAAAAAGCAGAATGGCTGAATTGTTTAGGAGCCCATTTCTGCACCTAGTAAAGATATTGTTCATGTTTTAAGTCAAGTAAGAGTTTCTTGGGAATACAAAGATTTAGAAAATCTGTCATGCAGGCATGATTTATGATGAAATGAACCAAAGGCTTGTTTAAAATCTAAGTGCACAAAGGGAAATAAAATTCAGACTGAGGAAGGCACAATGGGAAGGTTCTGTGTGGTAAAGTAAAATTTAAACATATGAAGATTGCTTAAATGATCATTTTTAAATTAGTATCAGAATAATATAACCAAATATCTTTTTTAACTTTGAAAATTTAAAAATTGTTTAAAGGTGACAGTGATGATTTCTACTCTTATTAATTAAAGTCAAAATAACTTGGGCAATTTCTCTAATTATCTCATTAGTAGCAACTAGACAACCTAAACAAATATATATATATATATATATATATATATATATTTCATTGATTATATTACATTTTATGTAATCCAGTTGTTGTTTGTTACATATGAGCAGCACATGTAATATAAGTATTAGCATTAGATAGCCAGATGATAGATAAATGATAGATAGGTAGATGATTGATAGATAGAAGATAGATAGATGACAAATAACTGACATATATGTACACACATATGAGTGTGATAAAGAGGCTATTTAAAGGTGTTAAAGAGTTAACAACACAATGAGGAATTATCCAAGGTCCAAGAGAAGTGACCTTCTTGATTGTGAGTCCAAAGTTTAACACTGCCTTTGTCTTAGGCAATCTTCTGTTTCAGCAAAGAATATCTAGAGTCACATTGCAAAAACAGGAAGAGGGACCCTTACAGCCTTTTCAATTGTTATGAGTAGAATGCCCAAAGATATATACACTGGCAGAACAGTGAGCCAGTCAAGGGTCTGCTTTCTGAAGCATGGTACTCATTTTCCAATTTCCAACCATCCCAGTTGTGGAATGTCTTTCTATATGCTGTGAATGTGTGTTACTCTCTTTGGTTGATAAATAAAACTGCTTTAGTCTATGGCAAGGCAGAATAGAGAGGCAGGAAATCTAAGCAGAGAGACAGGAGAAGAATGGCAGAGTGTGAGAGATGCCAGCCAGCCACCAATGAAGCAAGACATGTAGAAAATCAAATAACAAACCATGAACCACATGGCAAAGCATAGATAAGAAATATGGGTTAATTTAAATGTAAGAGCTAGTTAGTAATAAGCCTGAGCTATCAGCTATTTATAATTAATAATAAGCCTCTGAGTGATTATTTTTAACATGGCTGTGGGATTAGGTGAGACAAAATGCCTCTGTTTACATTTATACCCAACACATACAGGCAAAGCACCAATGCACATAAAATAGAGATAAACAACTTTTTTAAGATAGTGACACTGGATACTCATGAAGGAACAAAGGCAAGATTGGAAGTTTTAGCTGTAAATTGCTAATATTGAACAAAAGAAAGTAAAAACTAGTCAGAAGGAAAGCATTGATAACTCAAATTAACTCAATGAACACATTCATGTTTTAACAGTATATTAGGAGCATACAAAAGACAGTTTGTGAACCATAGGTTAGATATGAGGGATATATCTGAGTTAAAAATAGTAAAGAAAAAATAAGATGACAAACACTAAAGTAGGGGAAGAAATTTGTTGTATAATGGTGAAGTGTATCATGAATTGAATTAGAGTACAAATTGATCGGCATAAATATTTGAAGAAATAATGTGAGAAACTTTGATAAAAGATTTGGCCCTATTTCATCAAAACTTTTAAACTCCAAGCAGAACAAATAAAAGTAAATCCGCAGCTAATCCCATCTCAGTGAAATTGTTGAAATGGTCTAATTTCTTCAAATATCATACACTCAAAACAGGAAAAATAGAAAATAAATCTACAGCAAGTCCATCACAACAAAACTGCTAAGATTCAAAGATAAAAAGAACATCTAGAAAATAGTCATCCAACAAAAACACCTTGCCTCTAGATGATTTTCCAATATATAAAATGGAAATCCAAAGAAAATGCAACAAAATGATAGTCAACCAAGAACTGGAAACCTTGTAGGAAAAGTGTGTTTCAAGAATAAGAATGAATTAAGGTTATTTTATAGGGGATAAAAAGAGGTTCTGTTGATCTCTAGATGCTCCATGGGGATAGAAAATACTGGTTCTAGGTAGAAAGTCAAAGATGTATAAAAAAAATTAAGAGGAAGGTAAATTAAATATGTCTTGCTTATTCTTATGGAAGACAGGAATAGTGTCTTCCTCTATTAGATCTTTTTCTGATGTCATGCAGAGTAACAGTGCTAATGAATATTTGGATTTTTTAAGTCCCAATGACCCCTATAAGAGAGAAAATGAAGTGAGTCCTGTCTCAGATGATTGCTTGGAGGGTTTCCAGGACAAGCCCCATAGGAAAAGAATCAGGCAGATCTTGATGGGCTCCCTGCATAGTGGACACAAAGCTGAGAATCTTGGAAGCTTAAGTATGTATGCAGAGTAGCAGGTCAGTCATAAAAAGATAGTGTTCCTTCAGACTGAGACCAGTTGGAGCATGCATGAAAGGCAATTGCTCATGCTCAAATCAAAGATGCTAAAGGAAAGATTTGATGTTATTAATTTAGCTTTAATGATTAGAATGGAGTTGTTCACTGGGAGGGTGCATGTGAGGGCTTCTAGCCTGGACAATTATAAAAAATGTAGTTTTTATGTATGCTTTAGGGTTTAGCATAAGTTCTATATAGGTTTTTGTTGTTGTTTATTTTCTGTCCTCGATTTCCTATAAGTTTGCTGCAATTTTTAAAAATGGTTAAATGAGGAATGGAGAAAGAAGGAAAGAAAGCAGAGGAACGAACTGTTTATTTTCT